AAAGAAAGAAAAATAACACTAATTAGAGAAGAATTGAAATGTGTTTCATGTTATACATTCAGTTCAATTCGAATAATTGAAAGAAGAATAAGAAATGAGAAAGATGGTGATGATAAGATACATGATATTTCAGAATAACATATGGTTCAGTGTGATCATGAGAATAAAAATAATTGGTGTGATGAATGATTTTGTTCAAATATTTATAATATATGAAATGGAATTACTAAATAAATTGATTAAATATACACTGAAATGGATTCTACATTTAGAGTTTATTTAAAATCATTTTATTAAAATCAAGAAATATAACAGAATTACAAGAAATAATGAAATTAAAGTTAAAACAGTATTTTTCACGATGTCTTGTTGATGTTTTAAATAATGAGTCATTTGTTAAATTCCAGTTATACAAAATAATGGAGGATATATTGATACTCAATGCAATAATAACTTCATTGTATTGAAATATGAAGTTTGATGTGTTAGATAATGTATTATTTGTAGAAAAGAATATTAGATAGTTAGAAATTCATTTTGAACATTATTGTTGAGCGAAATGATATATCAATACAATTATTGATGAAATACATGTTGCTACTATTTACATATTTTATAAAATTAAGATTGAATATCTCTGAATATTTCACATTGAAATCAATTATTTTTAATAAACTTCATTTATCATTGTTTGAATAAATCTAATTTTACATAAAATATATATTATTTATTATTCAATTACACAACAATGAAATTAAAATATAGTTATAAGAAGAATATTTGATAATAAAAGTATTTTATTAATATATAATTTCTTTTATATTTTTGTGTTTGTTATTAATGTATTTAATGTATTTTATGTTTTGAATGAATTATGATTAATGACATTATTTTTATGCATTTTTAATTTAGTATTTATTCATTATATTATTTTCAAATAATATTTCTCATTTATATTATAATTAAATTATTTCTTCTTTATTTATTCAATTATTGATAAATTATTTAATTATTGTAATGAATATAACTAATAATTTCATTTAAAATGAATATGGAATAAAATAAATGAAAATTAATGTTTTATTGACAAATAATAATATTTAAATCAACAAATAAATGGTTTCAATAAAATATATCAAACAAATAAGAAAGAAAGAAAAAGAAATGAATAAATAAATAAATCTAAAATATCAGATAAATAATATGAAATAAATAAAAAATTAGTTAATTAAGTGTTAATAGAATTTTCATCCATTCTGTCTGAATCAGTGGAGATTAATCCAATCATTGAACTTATTTTTAAAGAATAATCTCTTTTTTAACATATTCTTTAAGATTTTATATGAGTATGAGAAAATCACTTCTTTCTTTTATTTCTTCCTATTAAAGTTTTCTCAAATTTCTTTCTTTTTTCTTTCTTCTTTTTAACTTTTAGTTTGATTTCTATTTTAATTTTAAATAATATCATTTTTCTTTAATTTAATTTATGAAAGAGAGAAGAAAGTATTTCATTCCCACTATACTATTATGATTAATTTTCTTTTAGTCTTAACCACACTTTACTATATCATTTTCATTGATTAATACTTCCATATTTATTTCTTAATTTCTTTATTAATAAATATCATTTCTTATATTACAATAAGTAATATTCCACCTAATAAATTGGTGTACAATTTGCAATATTAACTAATACATTTCATATTCAAAGATACCGTCATAACCAAATAATAACATAGAGAGAGTTAAAACAACAATTATACTATGGTTTATGTTGTGTTTCAGATGTGATACATTCAGTCTCAAGAAGAATAACATAAAAACAAATCAATTATGATTAACCTTATCTTTAGGTTTTCATCATGTTGAGAAGTGAGTGAATCAGTTTCTTCAACATGCTTTATTTCTATTGAAATATTGTTTTTACAAGCACGTTCGACATAAACAGTTCATCATTTAAGTTGTTGCCTGAGATTTATTTTGATTTTGATGAGTAATATAATATTTCTCATTCTTTATATGGCTGTTTTAAGGATAGGATATCCATAATCTAATGATTATGACTCATCACCTTTATCTCCGACACCACTTAAAAACACCATTCATTGATAATATCATTATATTCAAATGTACATACAACAGTAACAATAATATATGCATCTTCTTTAATAAATTATAATTCTTGATAAATAATAAACCCTTAGTAAATAATAATGAATAATATTATTACATAATAACTACTCATAATAAATATTAATAAATAATAACAAGTTAGTTTTGAATAGATATTATCTCACCAAAGGCATGTCATGACCAGATGAAAACTGAGATATTCGAAGGATAGAAATATTTTGTGGTTGTATGTGGTGTCTCTGACGTGCCATCTTCGAATCCATTATCTCAAGAATACCAACAAGAAAAGAAATAAATAACAAATAAATAAGAAAGAATGATTATTTGTTGTATATTTCAAATTAATATTAAATATTAATAAAGTAATGAAATGAATAATAATGAGAATAATGTAATTTAAACAAAATGAAATAAAAAGAATGATAAATAATCAATGTTTCAATGAATAAAATATTATTTAATATTCATATTTCATAAATTAATTAATTATTTCATTTATTATTCATTTTATTTAAATTATTGTTTATTTAAAATATAAACTATCATATTTTATATTAAATTATTCAAAATAAATTTAAATAAAAATTCATTTAATTTATTTACTGTTTTTAAATTATTTCATCAAATATACAGTAGAAATACAATCATTATCTTTCTAATGATGTTCAATCATTATACATATTTATTATCTTTTTAATTATTTCTTCTTTATGATGAATAGTACTGATAAAATATTTTCTAGTTCTTCATGTTCAATAAATTCAATATCTTCTTTTATAAACACAAATATTTTGGTAATTTTGTTTTCTATTTATTTCATTGTTTTATTTCTTTCTTATTCTTCTTCTTGTTGATTTTTTAGAAAGAATAAATTATTTAATTTCAGTTCTTTCAATTTCCAAATCACAATAGTTAATTTCTTCCACATATTTCATTCTTTTATTTCTTTGCAATTTCTTTATTTTTATTTATTTGGTTATTCCTTTCTTGTTTAATATTTTATTCTTTTTCTTCAGTAATACTCTGATAATCAATATCTCTTTTTTTTTCAACTTCTTCTACATTAATTGATGTTAATAATAGTATCATTATCATCACCCTTACAATTCCATTTTATCTTTGTGTATTATAATAACAATATAAACATTTGATTCATTAAATTACATTGGAAATTTATTATTTTCCAGTTATTCCATTAAAAATTTTTGTTGATATTTATCTACTTTTATTTTCTTCTTTTCTTCATGAACTTCTTTATGGATATAACATTAACATTTAATCAACACGATACAAACATGTCTCTAAATGTCTAATATTGGAAAAAACATTCTATATCATTTTATTTATTGTTTTATTATTTTATGAAAACCTTGATTGAAATTCAAAACAATATTAATTATTTAAAATTCTTTTTATTCTTTTTTTAATATAATCAATACTATTTATTCATATATATATTCTTTTCATTCTGCTGTGTCTTGTAACACAGATATAATAATAAATATATCTCATTTATCACTTTCTCATTATATTCATTTTATTTCTTTAGTTTCTGGTTTTGCGGTATTATTTTCTTTAAAAATATTCTTCTTCATTTTGAATTTACAAATTGTAATTTTTCAACCACTTATATTTCAAAGGATAAGTAATTTAATTTATTTAATATTCATTGATTGTTGATAGTTGATAGTCATTTTAAATAATAATTAAACATGTCAATTATTTATCAATTTGAAGAATTGAAGTTATTTATTATTAAAAAAACATTTCATAATCATTTGAAATAAATAACTACAATTCTACATTTTTTAAATATTCTTCACATTATATTTTATTTAAATGAAAAACAACAAAATATTTTATCGAATGTTACATAAACATTATTGTTGTTTTTATTTAATTTTTACATAAAAAATATATTTTTGAAATAAAAGGAAATAGAAAATATTTAAAAATAAACGAATAAATTTATCGATAATTTAACATAACAGTTTGTTTTTGGTTATTAGTTTGAAATACAAACATCATTAAATAAAAATAAATTTGTAATGTTATGATTGAATTAAAAAATGACTAATTTTACATAATTTTTGAAATATATTTATTATTATAAATTTTAATTTTCATTAAACAATTATTTATTTTTTATTTAGTGACAATGATTATATTTTTATTAATGAATTATTAATTAAAATGAATGATGATAATATTGTTAACTAATCAAAATAAAAGAATGAAATATGATTAAATTATTTATTGTTTCATCTTCATTAAACAAAAAGAAATGTTAATAATATTGATTATTTCTCTCATATTAAATATTTTAATAATTTAAACATTAATTATTTCTTTTATTATGTTATTTAATGTAATTTTATCATTTAATTTGATTTTTCATTTAATTTTTTTTATTTATTGTGTGTTTATAATAATTATTTCATTTCTTTTCTCTTTTCTTTCTTATTCTTATTTTATTATAACATTTTTGTTTATCATTTCTTATCTTTATTAAATTAATTTGTTAGAATTAATGTTGATAAAACAAGAAAATTCAAATTACAAACGATGAAATAATAAAAATAAAACAGAATTGAATTTTCTTCTTTTCAATTTTTTTTGTTATTTTAAAAAATGAAAAATACTAAAAATACAAAATATAAGCTAATTATAGAAAATAACATTATTATAATTTTATTATTATTATATTATTAATATTATTATATATTTATTGTTATTGTAAAAATGATAAAAATAACATTTATTTAAAATAGAATGATGTTAAAATAATGATTGACTTGGTGTTAATAACGTGGATTAACTATTTAAACATCCATATTTTGAACTTATAAACATCAAATTAAATTAAAATGGAAGAGTTAATAAACAAGAATAACCAATTGTTTAAAGAAGTAGTAGAAACACTTCCAAATATTCAACAATCAATTGATGATACTACTAAGAATTATCAATATTATTTAGGAAGTATTAAAAATGAAGTGTTTGAAATAAAAGATAATGAAACATACTCAGAAGCATTTAAAAGAGGAGAAGGAATATTTGATAGAATGGATGAAACAGAAAGAAGAAGAAAATTAGTGATAGAGAAAAGTCAAGAAACAATCAACCAAATAGAAATAATGAAGAATAAAATGTCAAGAATCATAGAAGAATGTAATCATGATGAAGAAACACTAAGTAAAACACGGAATGAGTTAATAGATAAAATCATTTCAATTGAAGAAATGATAATGAAAGACAAACTATTCAGAAAACCAAAAGAAACAGATACAATCACAGCAGAATTTAATAAGAAGAAAGAAGAATGGCAAACATATTACAGTGATTATTTAGAAAGAAAGAAGAGAGAAGAAGAAGAGGAAGCAAAAGAAAAGAATAGACGAGAAGAGGAAAGAAGAAAAGAAAAAGAAAGAAAGAAACAAGAAGGAGAGAGATTGAGAATAACGAAAGGAATGAACACAATGGAAGAAATGCTACAAATAGAAGAATGGACAAATAGAAAGGTAGGAAATATACTATTTGATTCAGATAAAGATGATTGGAATATACTTACATCAGTATTTGATCAAAGAATAATAAATAAAGAACATATAATAATTATTATTAAAGATGAAGAAGGAAATAAATTTGGAGGATATGTTAATTCTAAAATTGATGAAGTTGATGGTGATATAAGTGATTCAAAATCATTTGTATTTTCATTAGAATCAAAGGGAAGAATGAAAGGAATGAAGAAATTTGATATTGAACAACCAGAACGTGCATTTTGGTTAGGTAATCAAACAGTTAATTGTTTGGATTTGGATGTGGAGGTGATATTTGTGTTTGTAAAGAAAATGATAAAACAAAATCATTTTGTTATCAAGATTCATTTGAATATAACGGAATATCAAATGCACTTTGTGGAAAAGAATATCCAAATCATTTCACACCAAAACGAATCATAGTAATTGAAATGAAATGATTCAATCTTGAATAATTGAAAATGAACTAAAAAAGAATAAAAACAAATCAATGAAGAATATGAACAGCCATTTCATTCATCTGCCAATGAATGAAATGGTGAAATAAAAATGGACATAATTCAATGTTGATTTATTTTATTTCATTTAATGAAATTTTCACACCCAATGAGGGTGTTTTTATTAAATAAGAAAAGAAATAAGAATAAAAGAGAAATAAGATACAATGAATAAACAATTTATTTGTATCATTTCATTGAATTAATTCATTATGAATCAAATGAATAAGATAATAGAAATAAGAATAATAAACAAATAAAGAAATGATAAAATACATCAACATATTTATGTTATTATTTCTTATTCTTTATTCATTCTTATTTTATATTTACACAATAATAAACAAAACATAATAAGAAAGATAAATAAGAATAACACAACATAAAATAAGAATAAGAATAAAATATACAACAAACATGAATAAACAAGAAATAACAAATGATAAAAGAAGAACTAAATAAAATAACAACAAGAATAAGAAAATAGAATGAAATGGAAAGAAATAGAATAAATTAAGTGATGTTTAGAAAAGAGGAATTGACAAAAAGAAGAAATGAATGATGATTATAAAAGATAAAAATAATATAATAATTATAAAATCAAAACTAAAATAACATAATAATATAATAATAATATCATTGTTTTTATCTTATTTTATTCTTATTTTATTTATCTTCTTTTATTATTTTTATTTATCTATTTTATTACATGAAAATGAATGAGAAATGAATAATGAATACCATAAACAACACAAACATTAATAC